AAGATAACCAAAGACTTTCCCATGATAAAAGAACCCCTCCCCCAGTTTCTTTAGAAGAATCTGTCATGTCATAAATTAATAGGCCAAATTGCTCCTCAAAATCATGGGTGGGCTATATGAAATATAAATGCCAGTGTTTCTCCCTTCCATTTGATCCATAGTATTAGAAGCTCATGTTTATGTGGAGAAGTGGTTGCTCTGAATCTTAAAGCATATTCTTAATTTGGAGGAGTATTAGGAACTCAGAAGATGATGTTTATCAAGTTGGAGTAGTAGTCCATTTCACTCAGCATGGTCTATATCAACTACTGCCAATTCTTCAGGAATCTTGTGGAAGTATGTTTTATGCCCCATTGCTGTTATTTCTTCCTCTGGTTCCTCCTAAACAAGTTAAAGTATAGATAAGGGTTGGTTTGGAAAATAATCAGTCATTTCTAAGTCAAATTTATCATATTCTAGAGTTTATCAAAAGGCTCTGAGAAGTTGGATTTGTGCTTAAAACACTTAAAACAATATGTTCACCTTCACCTTTAAACTTGTAGAAGTAGTTTTAAGTCCCACTCCCTTTCATTATAGGACGTGTATTCTAAACAATGAATATGGGTTCAAACCTCTATTATTAGATTTGCTTTTGATGCAAGAAGGTAAAGAGGCCCTTGAGGGCCTCAACTACATATACACATCCATGCTGTTTCTGGCAGCTGTTCAGAAATAGTTTGCTATTGTCTTCTGGAATGATGCTTTTACCTTCCAGTCTAGCGTACAGCCTTGAATTCCCTGCAGATCTTCCATCCAAGCCTGACCTATTTCTTCCAAGCTTCGATGAGGTCAGCCAGCAGTTAAAGCTTGATGAATGCATCTCTAAATGTCAAGAGTTGTATTCATGTCAATGTCATGTGCATATTCATGTGTGATAGCTCCTTGTAAGGCAGGAGTTTGCAGCTGGTGGCCTCTGCTTGTAGCCTGGCATTGACTCTCTTAATTATGTATAATACCACAAACATTGCACTCAGATTAGGAACGAGAGTGTTCATATCTGCAGCATAACTTGGTGATTATCAGCTATTTCTATGTGGGAGAGTCCTTCTTTGTACACCAGCATTTTCTGTGCAATTTGAGGAGGAGGACAGACTTGTACATATTGGTGGAACTTCAGTTCACCATTTGGTGCTATATGGAGCTCTTGGGGCTGAAAAATATATTCACCCCTGTTTTAAGACATTGACCTTTGATTGTCTAGGACCTGTTAGCCAGATAAAGCTAACATCACCAAATTTACACCTGCCTTTTACAGTAGATACCCAGCAAGAAGAAAAATGTGTATGGGCTAATTATACCCCCACCCCAGGGGAAGAGCATGAACTAACACATCGATGCTGATCATAATGTAGGAGATTGGTCTGTTCTTGGCTTGTAAGTAAGTTGATGCATACCCAATTTTCATAGGAAGCAGTTTTTATGAAGTCTCTTTGAATATTTTTGAAGCACTGTTTTAATTTGGTACTAGAATTATTGCTATTTCATCTCAAACTCTGACTTACCCCTTCCTTTAAGAAAGTAAACATAGTTCATATATCATTTCCTCTCCCCCCTCCCCAGTTTTATGTACTACAGCATATGCAATGGAAGAGAAAATAGGTAGCTCAGGGTTGAACTATAGAGTTCTTGGTGCTCTCTGAGCTTGGTTGTTTACTTGCAGACATTTCATTACCCAACAAACAGCCTCAGAAAGCATCAAGAACTCTACTAGGGCATATGGTAGATGAAGCTGTTTGGTAAACCAAAGCTTTTTGCTGACACTTGCCTCAGCCTGCCGGCCTCGTCTTCTGTCTTCAATTCATTATTGCTAAGGAGTTGTGAGTTCCCTAATTGGGAAGTGACATAGCAAGTTTGAGATTTTTTTTTTTGCTGAGAATGAGTGTGCAAATCCAAGATGTTCCCGGTGACTATTTCACATCTTAGAACAAGCAATAGTTGGAATTATGCCAATACTTTTTTTTTTTTGGACCTGTTTAAATATTTTACCTTCTGCAGTTACGCAAAGTAGGTTCACTGGGGCTCCGTATGTTCATGCCTTTCTGGATCTGCTGAGTCAGTAGCACACATATTGTTGTACTATTCTTTCTTCAGGGACTCCTGACATTTACCAGTAACACTTCTTCCAAACCAATATCTAGGTAGATCAGATACATTTTATGTCAACCTTCCTTTATCAGATTTAAAGGCAGACAATACTTAGAAGATGGGAAAATTTCTCCCTGGGACTATAGCTGTTAGAAAACAAATGGTATCACAAGTGCTATGAACCTAGAATCATAGGGCTTTAGTTCAACCCCCTGCCCAGGGAGGAATCCTCATACATCCCCATACATCCCAGGCTGTCCAACCTTTGCTTGAAAACCTCCGGTGATGGAGTATCCGCAACTCCAAAAGGCGGGCTGTTCCACTGCTTAATACCTTTCACAGTCAGAAAATTCCTCATTTTGAGTTTGGATCTCCCTCTCTAAAGCTTCTCGTCCTATCCTCAGGAACTATGGAGAATAAATCTGTGCCCTCTTGCCTGTGACAGCCCTTCAAGTGTTTTATCTGAAGACTACTATCACATCTTCTCTGTATACTTAGTCTTAATTTTGCCACAATTTTCTAACCTTGATTTTTCTTCTTCTCCTATTTTAGTGTTTGTTGTTCGTGCCATCTGTTTTTTCCCCCACTCCTTGGACAGATCTTGAACCAAACTAAAAAAACAAATCTATAACTTAGTACTTTAAATCCTTCGTCTATTATACTTCATAATCTAGATTATTTAATGTGCTGACTGCTTTTAGTCTTATTTCATTTATTTTTGTGCTATTCTGTTTTATTATCTATATCACCGTATCGTAGTCTTTATTGTTTTAGTATTAGTGGTAAACTGATTACAATTCTTATAGTCAGATCTTAGTATTATAAAATTAAAATTTTATACAGTAAATCCCTATAATTTTGTTATACAGAAATTTATTTTTCTGTACCTTCAACAGGTTATTCCTGGAATGGTTCTAAAGTTATATGTTTTGTAGTAGTTTACAACAGAAATAAAGATTCATGATGGAGTTTCTGTAAAAATGGAAGAATGACAAAGGTTCACTTTAGGAATAAGAAAATATATTCATTGGAACCCTAGATAAATCCTTAAGGGATTTATATGCTCTGTGTTGGCACTTTTAGATCAAAGTATTAACTGCAGTGAAAACTGGAAATAGAACTAGAACACTTCCACCTAGTGCTGTTTCCATTCCCTTGTCCTTCCCAAAGTCATCCATGTGGACGTCTGCACATCTGTTGACTTCAGAACGCTTGAGAAAGGCAGACAGTCTCCCTTCCCCACTCCACCCCCAGTTCAACCACAGTTGGCAGCTGATCAATTGGTAACTGGTAAATTCATCAGTCAGTCTTCTGCTCCAAGCTCCTGGGGGAACACAACTCCCCTCTCTGCCAACCCTCTGTAGAAATGTGAAGCAATACATTTGCTAACTCCACCACTGTGTTTTTAGGACACGTTGGATACATTTGGTTATTTTGCAAAAAGGTAACAACTGACAATAGTAAGGTACCACTGTTTTCCAACCTGGCCCTTCACCCAGTTGCAGCTGTGACTGAGGGTTACGCTGGAGGGTTGAGCAACTGAGCTCAGACAGTGGAGAGTGGATGGAGCAAGAATTCAGTTCTTGCTGGTTATATATGTAAAGCTAAAGTGAGAGGTAATGCAGTGTATTTGCATGGTTATTGTAAGGAAACCTTTTATGGTGTGTTGGAAAACGACAGCTGTGAGGAGAAAGTAGGCTCTGCTTTGCTTCACTCTGTTTTTGCTGAAACCCCTAATTGTTCCTGTTGCTTTATGGTATATATTTTGGATTGTGACTTGATGGGGGTTGGTAGAACAGAACAGAAGTAACTAGTTCTACTCCTCTGTTTAATACAAGTAACTAGTTCTAATTTAATTAATGTTTAATTCGATGCAATTATGCCTGTTTAATTCGATGCAATTATGCCTGGCTAGCCATACCTATGGTCCAGGAACAGCAGAGACATTAATTGTTTGATTATGTGCCATCAAGTCAGTGTCATCCCTTAGTGACCACATAGATAGATTTTCTCCATGATGATCTCTCCCTAACCTGGTCATTCAGGTCTCCCAAAGGTGCACTCATTGCCACTCTAACTGCGTCCATCCACCTTGCTGCTGGCCGCCCTCTTCTTCCTCTTCTTCATTAATAGGGTTTAATTAATAGGGCTTAATTAATTGAGACATTAATAGGGCTGCAGAAATCTCTCTGTTGCGAGATATAGATTGCAACAGTCCCCCAAATTTTGCACCCAGCAAGTAAGGCTTCAGATTCACCCAGGTAGGTCTAAAGAGTGGGAAAGGAAGCGGAGGGTATTCAAGAATATTTGTAGTGTTAATTATATCTTCATCTTCTTGTTAATGTATTTCCTCTTTGACAATGTTAAATACAAGGTGTTGGACCTGTGCTGAAAGCAGAAGAAGGATTGCTACCCGGAGAGCCAAATTGTATATCAGGGCCCCAAAGGTTCCACATAAACAGGGATAATCAAGCTGGACAATATTTTACAAGGACTGACTAGAAATTGAATAGAAGGATTAAGGGTGAGATCCTTAATATGGTCACCTCTGAACTTTACTGGACAGCTCCAGGTTCAAGAGATGGGATGAGACAGGACCAAATATTCCTTGGCCCCTCCAGATCAGTGGTGCTCTGGAAGCACAGAACAGAAGTGTTGCAATTCAGGCTGGGCCACAGCTAAACCAATGTCATGGGGACACAGGATGGTGCCTATGCCGGATTCATACAACAGTGTCCTTAGTTTTGCAAAGGGATAAAAGAGCTTTGTTAAAGGTGCTAATGCCTAAAGCTATAACTCTGCAGACTGTAGATAACAAGTACGTGCTAATATAAATCTATTCTAATATGTATTTTTTGCTGTTGGTGGTGTTCCAGCTCCCCGCAAGAAAGAAGAAGCACAAATGCTCTAAGTATCCATTGTTCCGAGAGTTGTATTTCCAAAAACAGTGAGTAAAATTTTGTGACTAATTGTAATTCATACTTGAAAGATAGGAGGGACGTGCAGAGTTAGGGAATGTCAGAAGGCTGTCATAATAAAAAAAGGGTTTTTATAGATGCCAAACTGGAACATCTTATAATGTCTTTTGAAAAAAGAATGTGCTTACTTTTAAATTGGTTTCCAACTGGTAGCACAGAGCTGCTCCAGTTGTGATATAGAAACCATGGTTAGGACCACTTTCAGGGTAAGAAGGGATAGATATGGTGGATTTATCCCTGGCGGAAAACACCAGTACAGTGGTACCTCGGTTCACGAACTTAATTCGTTCCGCGACCTCGTGGTCGCGAACCGAATTGGTTGTGAACCGAATCAAAT